CCTATACAGGGTGAGTCTTAAATAAGTGCAAATATTTTTAGTGGGGTATATTTTGGACCCAGAAATATGAGGATTTTTTTGCGCAATTTTTTTTTGAAAAAAAGATCTGGTATTTTTTTAAGTTTTTAGTTAAAAAACATAATTTCTTGATAATATGGTAACTGAGGTTCAGAATCGGCAATTCCCGGTTCTTTTGAGATATCAAAGAACCGGGACTCGAAATTATTAATTCCCGGTTCTTTCGGTACCTTCGGGTCTGTTTTCAAGTAAATTTTTACTCGATGATCATTTTTTTTTAATTTTAATTTATTGTGAACTCATATTTTACTAAATACATCTCTGTGAAACTATGGCGAGTGCCACGACTATACTTTGCCTAGTTATAGACCAAGACTATATAGCTACGTCAGTGGTCACGGGACGCGAGAACAAGGTCATATCAAGTGGCAGAAAAAGAACAAAGGATTTGACAAGGAGTAAAGCTACTAGTTTCCTTATACTATGTCACAGCCACCTAGATTTCATCAAATAATAAGGATCTCCTGACACTAAATCATAAAAATAAAAATAACCAGGGAAATCTTTGTGAGAGGTAACCTAAATATTATTTTGAAGACACATACATTCTCCATTGAATATCGGAATAATATACTGGGTGTTCCGTTTGAAATAAAAGTAGTTCGTTTTTAGAAAATGTTAAGATTTAACATTTATATTTAATATTATGTCAAAAGCCTTATATTTTAGTCATATGCTTCTCTTATAAAAGTCGCCTATATTTTGCCTAGAATCCGAAAATCAGCTAATATATAGGGTTATTAGTTAGTATATCTCTCTTCCATTACAAAAAAACACCTTGATGTGTAACTTTTTCAAGGGACACCCTGTAGAGCTCTATATAATTTTAAGAACTGCTCTAAATTAACCTACATATGCTCACCAATTTCAATACATTAGGTCTCCTTAAAAACTCCGCGTCGTATGAGAGGCGCCACCCTGTATATATTAGTTTTCAAAAACTTCCAGTTAAGAAAAACGTGATTTTATAATTTGGAAAATAAAAAAACACAATATACAATTTTAGGAATGTAAATTTTAAGGTAAAACTTCTGTGAAAAAAAAAATATGAGTTAAAGCACCAAACAATCTAAAAAAGGGTGTCAAACAACAACAATAGATGTATCATCGATCGTCATATCCAAGCCAACTGGACGCCGTTTTTTTTTTCGATCATATGGTATAATGAGCAGTATACTAACCTGTGACAATGTAACGAACTTCTCCAGGCGCCCAAGGATCCTTAGGATTTTCTTCTGCCTTTTGAATGTTGGCAATTCTGTCTTCAAACTCTGGTCTCAAATCCACCATGTTCATATCAGGAACATCCATCAAATTGTCATTTTCGTCATAAATCCTAACATTACAAGGAATACATTTCCCGATTTCCACTTTATCCGCCATTTCCACCCTGATAATACCCACAGAAACCACGTTCACCGTCAAAGTCGCCGGCTTGGACAAGAGACACAAATCCAAAAGCTGCACTATAACCTCCCCAGACTTATATGGCGTTATCTCCAACTCCTTTGTACTTTCTAAGTACTTTACGTCGATTACATCGTCGGCGCTTAGGAGCTATTTCAAAATCCCGATCCCTGAATCACAGCGACCCTTTTTTTGTTACCAGGATGATTGAAAGGGATAGAAACTTTCGGCAAGCCCTGTATCTTCAACCAAGTACAAAGCTAAAGGAAGCCTTAATAGGTTGGAGCTCAGCATCTTTATCTTCTGGTCCCATAAATTCTGGCCATTCTGCTTTAATTTTGTTTTTCCATAAGATTCCTTTGTTATATCCGATAACTGTGACATTTAATATGACAGGTCCAATGTCAATATGGGGCATAAGTGACTGATAACTTCTGTCAGCAATTGGGACAGTACCTAAAGTTACATTCTTAGGAAAAACTCCGTCTTTACTCAGCAAAATTCCAGCTTCAAAGGGACTTAGTTTCCAATCCAAATGCAGACTGGAGAAATTTAAGAACTTATTTCCACAATCATCATAAAGTATTACGTCAATATCAATAAGTTTTGTACTCTGGACGACTACATTGCCAGAACTCAAGTCCATAGGACAGTTGGAAGTGTCAGTGATTTGTAGTTCGGGCTGTAATAAAATCTTTCTGGGTTTCCCACAAACTACCTTGGTAGTGCAGGAGCTGGTCTGACCTTGACAGTTTGTTGAGGTAGGATTATTAGAAATCATCAGTTTGATGCTGGTCTCTCCAAGTTTTTTACACAGTACTTCAACAACAGTGAAATCTTCGCCTTGAATCGAATGAAGTTGGGTGACATCAGTGCCTTGAGCAATAGTTTCATCCTCACTAACAATTGTCTTTTGATTTTCGCTGGCTCTACCTAAAATAGGTCTTGGTCCACCAGTGAAGACTAGATTAATAGAGGAACCAACAGCCAAAACTACATCTTTTTTTGGTTGGAGAAGTTGAAGAGGTCTGAAAGCACTGACAGTTACAGCATCTTCCAAGGCTTTACCATCCTGGTAATATGTTACAGTGACTTTACTAGTACCCACGTTCAAACCGACCATGGCAATGTTGCCACAAGAAACGCCGATTGGAGGCAAAATATCAGTTTTGTTCTGTTTGAATTTAACATCAGACTGTTTCACTTGGAATGGTAATTCTTGACATCTTGTAAAAGGTACTAAGGTAACAGTTCCATCAGGTCTAGTTTCTTCAGCATATAAGGCAATATGGAGGTAAACAGGGGAACCAACTTCAGCTTCCATAACAAATTCTACAATTTCTAACCTTGTCGGTGGAAGAATGATGAATTTAGCTGATTGGCGGTTGTGGTGGTTACGCATCATCACTGCAGACACCTCAAAAAATCCATTTGAGTGAGTTCTAACATGACCTGACTGACTGACTATACCAATAGCATTGTCACTGCTGGACCATAAAAATCTTCCATCGCCTCCTTTTGCTACCAAATCAATGTCATATTTCGGCCTGGTCACTGGATCCCATGGTAAGATTATTTCTGAAGGCTCAATGGTAATTTGTGAGTATATCATTATATCTGCCTTAGCACTAATAGGTTTATTCAATTTAGTTTGTCCATCAGCACTGGTTTCTAAAGATGCCTGGACAGTGGCAATACCTGATTTAACACCATAACCAGTAAGCCAGCTACCATTTTTGGTTTTTGATGTTGCATAGAACTCTGGTGTAACTTCCAAGTACATTTGTGCATTTTCACCTAAGTATAATCTATGATCAGTCGCGTCATAAAGCTCAGCAACAATGTCATGGTGCTGGGCAACTAAAATTGCCCAGTTTTTATGAGGCAATATGTTCAAAATAACATATTCGGGCTGAACTACGTGTATAGTTGCTGCAGGTAACTTTAGCATTGGGTCGTTCTTGCCAATGTTTCGATCTTGCAAAACTATCCTTGTTTTACCTTCTTTTAAGGCAGTTACACTTCCACTTTTTTTAGTTGAAGAGACAATGGTGGAATCCTCGGGCTCTATATAATATTGAGCATCTGGTAATATAATTTCGTCCATTCTACCATTATTTATCTGAAAAATTAATTTTAATAATACTTTCCTTGATTTTGATCTAAATTAAAACAACCACACATTATAAGATAAGAATAATTAGTTCATAATAGAGATTACTTATTTTTTTACTTATAAAATGAAAAAACTATATAACTTACATGAAATATCTTAAATGGCACTACATCACCTATCATCACATACACTTCAGCTGGGCTTAATAACAAATTTGCTACAATCATAAGCTGTACCTCACTAACTTCAACGTGTTTATATTCGGGATAGGGTAGCTTTACTGTTATCTAAAAACCAAGAATGCTAATATCTTGTTAATTAAAATAACTAAGTAAAGATTACCTTAGCAGAACCACTTTTTATGCCTTCTAATAAAATTGAGTATCCCTTTTTGTTTTCATTCTCTAGTGCCTCTATAGCTGAAGGTGTTTCATATGGTGAGTCTCTATAAGCTATGTATCTTATCACAGTGTCTTTGTTTGGTCCTAGAGGAATAATATTCCAGTCAAATTCCACTCCTTCCAGCGAGGAAAATTCATTTCCTTGATCATCAAAAGCCTTGACTTCAAAATCTTCTGGTGCTTCCTCCATAAACAACTCCTTAGTTGTAGTTGTTATTGCTAACGAATAGATTACATCTACTATAACATCACAGCGTAAATTCTGCTTTGTTAGAACGTCTTCAGCTAACACTACAGCTATATTTCTAGCTGCTTCTTTAGTTACCGTACTAACAACAACTCTTGACGAACAATGCAATTCTTTGTTTTCATCCTCCATTGTAAGTTGTATAATATCTGCTCTTGTCGTAGTCCTACATTAAAAATAATTAATTTTTAAACTTACGTACGTAATTTTATTCAACGAACCATTTGTAACAGCCTCCTTCAGTAGCTTCTAGCAGGAACTTTGACGAAAAGTCATTAAAAATGGGTAACAACACTCTGGGTACATTTAATTTCGACGAATTTACTACAGAAATTAAAACACACAAAACGAGGGACAGCAGCCGCAATGTTCTTGCCATAGCTTTCACTTAAATTAATGATTTTCACTAAAATATTACAGCATGAGGATTAGATTCATTTTTCATAAATGTTTGGTTAGTTTTAAAAATAAAACAAATTTGCAAGCCGTTGGCATTGGTCAGAGTGACATCGTAGAAAAATAAAAATTACTATGATTTTAGAAGACAATTTTAAGGTGAGGAAACTAATTTTTACGTTTGTTTTGTATTTAGATTTATTGTTATATGTTGTATGGTGTTTAGGAAAATATACTAGCATAAGTGTTTATTTTTTTATATAATTTTATAGAATTATTATTTTCTTATATTGGCAGAATTTTCTATAGGTGTATTGTTGGTTGCGGTGCGACTACGCGCCAATAAGATTACAAATTTGAATATTTGAAGAGGCGGCGTATTTGAAACAACTTCTGGCACTAGGTAACTAAAGTAAACAGTGCCATATTTTTGGTATTTGTTTCAAAAAAATTACGTAAAATAAGATCAAAATGAGAGAAATAGTGCACATTCAAGCCGGACAATGCGGAAACCAAATTGGCGCCAAAGTAAGTGAATGAATTCAGGGAAAACCCTCATATTTTTTCGAGTATAATAAATTAACGATACGTTTTTTTTCAGTTTTGGGAAGTGATATCTGATGAGCACGGCATCGACCCCACGGGAACCTATCACGGAGACTCGGACTTACAACTCGAAAGGATCAACGTCTATTACAATGAAGCCACTGGCGGAAAGTATGTTCCCCGAGCGGTGCTCGTCGACTTAGAACCCGGTACGATGGATTCGGTTCGATCTGGTCCATTCGGACAAATCTTTCGACCGGACAATTTCGTCTTTGGCCAGAGCGGGGCCGGCAACAACTGGGCCAAAGGACACTACACCGAAGGCGCCGAACTAGTGGATTCGGTCTTGGACGTGGTACGCAAAGAAGCCGAAGGATGCGATTGCATGCAGGGCTTCCAGCTGACCCACTCGCTAGGAGGAGGTACAGGGTCCGGATTGGGAACATTATTGATATCAAAGATCAGAGAAGAATATCCCGACAGAATAATGAATACTTTTTCGGTAGTTCCCTCTCCTAAAGTATCCGATACCGTGGTGGAACCGTACAACGCCACGTTGAGCGTGCACCAGCTGGTAGAAAACACGGATGAAACGTACTGCATTGATAATGAGGCCCTGTACGACATCTGCTTCAGGACTTTGAAACTGACAACTCCAACTTACGGCGACTTGAATCACTTGGTATCGGCCACGATGTCTGGCGTGACGACTTGCCTGAGATTTCCCGGCCAGCTGAATTCGGATTTGCGAAAACTCGCGGTAAATATGGTACCTTTCCCTCGTTTGCACTTCTTTATGCCCGGATTTGCGCCACTTACCTCCAGAGGCAGTCAACAGTACCGCGCTTTGACAGTTCCCGAGTTAGTACTCCAAATGTTTGACGCTAAGAATATGATGGCAGCTTGTGATCCTCGCCACGGAAGGTACCTAACTGTAGCAGCGATCTTCAGAGGCAGGATGTCCATGAAAGAGGTTGACGAACAAATGTTGAACATTCAGAACAAGAACAGCAGCTATTTCGTCGAATGGATTCCGAACAACGTCAAGACCGCGGTGTGTGACATACCACCCAGAGGTCTCAAGATGTCATCGACTTTCATAGGAAACTCCACCTGCATCCAGGAGCTGTTTAAGCGAATCTCTGAGCAATTCACCGCCATGTTTAGGAGGAAAGCTTTCCTGCATTGGTACACTGGCGAGGGTATGGACGAGATGGAGTTTACGGAGGCGGAGTCCAACATGAACGACTTGGTTTCGGAGTACCAGCAGTACCAAGACGCCACGGCCGAAGAGGAGGGCGAGTTTGACGAGGAGGAGGAGGCTGACGAGGGTGAAAATTAACGTGTACTTTAAGCTTCGTTCGTATATTATAGTAAGGATGTCGACGTCGTTCTTTTAAATCGCACCGTATATTTTTTGTGATTGTAACGTACCACCTGTGCCCAGAGAACACTTTTTGGATTTATTAATAAATAATTATATTTAACAGTACTGAAAAAATGGTATTTTTTCTAGTGATTGAATTTAGTGTGAGTGGTATAGGATTGTCTTTACAAAGAGGAAAACTTTTTTATTATTGACATTTTGGAGAAAAAGCATTCTTCATAAAAAAATTTTTTAATTTTCTCTAAAATGGTTTGGACATTTGGAAAAGTATAAACGGGATTAATAATTTTAGAACAAGCCAAAATTTTTATGCAAATTGCATTTTTCTTAAAATGTCAAAAATAAAAAAGTTTTTCCTCTTGTAGAGACAATATATCCCGGGGACATACTGTATATCTAGAATTCTTTTACACTTGGAAGTTGGAACCTTTGGTGTTACAACCATAAAATAATTAACTAGAAGGTTACAACAGCAAAACAAAGCTAGACACCACAATACACCAATGATGTATTATTGTGGTGAATAGTTTTTATTTTATTTTCATAGCCCTCGCTGACAAAGTTTTTTTTTTCGATCATATTGTATGTGTGTAATATGTATGTACATAGTTAATTCTTTGATGCAAATATCCCAAAAGCAGCTGATTGCTATAAAGAATAATTATTTTCATATTTTTTTGACCTGCTGTTTCTTACAGAATTGGAATTTTTTAATTCAGATTTTTATAAAAACGATTATACCAGACTATGATTTATTATGAGTTGTTATTGTGAATTAAATTACTCATTTTAATATTAAATAAACCTTATTTTTTATACGCATATTTTTGTTTCTTTGATTTTTATAGACGTCTTGCATTTTTTTAGATAAATCATTATATATGGCTTATAAACCCTTACAGAGACAAGTATTTTATCTCTGGTACGTGTCGTATCAATACAAACACACCATATTTATTAAAAATTTTCTCAAGCTCTCTATTTTTTTATTGAAAAAATTCAAATCTTTTTAAAATTCACAAGTTACACAATTTTTTGAAATAACGGACTGTGATTGGTCAGTTCAGAATTGTCATTTGGTTTCTTACACGGTTGTCAAAGTATGATCGAAGTCCTGAAATTAACTTAAATTAATATTTGCGTAGGTATAAAACGAATTAAACAGTTATAAAATCATGATAAATCTAATAAACATATAATAAAAATATTATTTCGGTAGAATAAGTAATATTTTTTCTTTCAGACACAACATTATTTACCCAGCATAAAATGATTAATTTGTTTTACATCTGTTCAATTTGACAACGTTGACAGTGCGCCATTATTCGTTGTTTTGTTAGCAGCATGATGGCAGCATGAGCTTATATCGCTCTTAAAATTTTCTGATTTTTTGATCGAAAAAGTGTTTTTTCTGTTCAGTATTTGAGTGTATTCTGTTCCTTAAGGCCTGTTTGACTTCCTGAAGATGTAAGTATCCACCATTTTATCTGCTTTCTATATATTTTTTCACAATCAATTACATCATCATTAAAAGCTAATACGTTTTTCATATTTCCATAATTTTCTTTGGTCTAAATTGTATTTAAGCTATTACAAATAATTCCCTTGATATCTCTATTGTACATTAAATAATGGGTTGCTTGCTTTGAATAGTGCCCCAAATTTAGAGATATTTGATACCGATTTTTTTGGACCATTTTTTTTGGTGGAGTCGAGATATCTGCATTGTTTTTATTCCTACAGACAAGCAAACAGTATTTTCTACGTTGTTTAGAACAAGTCAGTGTTGGGGGGTATACCTAAAGAGGCCCTCTATTTTCAATAATTATATAATACTTTTAGATTAAAAAAAAACGTCTACACGTCACAAAATAATGTTTAATACCATACACTGCTGTCATATTTAAGTTAACAATTAATATTTTAATATAATATGGTTTAATATTATATTTTTTAGCAGCAATATTAATAATACACCATAAACACACCATAAACAGATGAAACCTCAAGATCACTCAAAAGAAGATAAGACATGGATCACTCCCTATATAATCCTGTGTTTGGTCATCATTCTGGTTTTCGGGATTGCTCTTCAAATATCTGATTAAAAGTATGTTTAATTTATTATTTAAAAATAATTTTAATAAATTTATTACATATGTTTTTTTAAAAAACTAACCACATTTTTAAGATATATTTAATATACATACAGGGTTATTCACCACATATGACACGGAGTATAGCTAAACGATTAGATTTTTACAAATTGTAAGTTTTGGCAAGTTTTGGGTTCGTTGAAGGACTATTAAAGCTACAATTTAAAAATATTTTTACAAGATACAGAGTGTTCCAAATAAATAAAAAATATCAAAGTTATATTTTTTTATAAGGAACACCCTGTATATTATTACATTTTTAGTTTCTACAATTAAAATAAAGGTAAATTTGATTAAGGTTTATCACACTTAAACCTTACCGTTTTTGAAATATTTTCAATTTTGTGAAATTGCAGTAAAAATTTTAAGGCTTCATTTCTCCAAGGGAATAAAAGTTTTTAATTCTAAATATTTACTGAAGTTTATTTATTGATCAGTCATTGTGTTGCAATAATAAAAATAATACTACCCCATACAGAGTGTCTAAAAATTTATTTTAAATAATTTCCAGCTATAAACGGCAATAACTTGTTTAATTTAAATGGAACACCCTGTATATTTTAGGAGAATCAGATGCACAATTTAATTGTGAACAACCCTGTATATTAATATGAAAAAAATATATACACAATATACAGGGTTGTTCACCACATACGACAAGGAGTATTGTAGCTAAACGATGAGATTTTTACAAATTGTAAGTTTTGGGTTTGATGAAGGACTATTAGAGGTACAATTTAAAAATAATTTTACAAGATACAGAGTGTCCCAAATAAGCAAAAAATATCAAAGTTGTATTTTTTTAAATGGAACACCCTGTATATTATTACATTTTTAGTTTCTACGATTAAAACAAAGGTAAATTTGATTAAGGTTTATTACAGTTAAACCTTACCGTTTTTGAAATATTTTCAATTTTGTGAAATTGCAGCAAAAATTTTAACGCTTCATTTCTCCAAGGGTATCAAAGTTTTTATTACTAAATATTTACTGAAGTTTATTTATTGATCAGTTATTGTGTTGCAATAATAAAAATAATACTACCCCATATAGAGTGTCTAAAAATTTATTTTAAATAATTTCTAGTTTTAAACTGCAATAACTTGTTTAATTTAAATAGAACACCCTGTATATTTTATGAGAATCAGATGCACAATTTAATTGTCTATCAAATTATATTATACCATTTTTTATCTATCTCTTTTTTTAAGTTTCCGTAGAAAATGCATTTTCTTATAATTTAAACTTATTTATCAATATACCCATGTAATATTGACATTTCAGATTATTCTTAAAGATGTACCAAATTTTTAAAGAGTACAGATACTAATATTGTCGATGTAATTCGTTTATTTCATTAAGAAATAAAAAAAACTGTTTAAATATTTGTTAAAGAGGACCAATTAATATGATTCCAGTATTCAAACTACATTAACTGACTGTTTGCGTTGATTAATAATAATTGCCCCAAATACTAAAAAACTGAGTTTTGGGTATTAGACAGTGTGGTAAAAAGTGACACCTTAAAAATGATAATTCATTTTTTAATAAATGTTTATTTATAACAACAGAGACGTTCATTTTGATAACTTATTATTATATCGATTTCTGACTTAAATCCACATTTATTTAGAATAATTTATTAACGAACACAATTAAGTATGTAATTAATTATTATATGTATGGGCGGAAATAATGGCGTTATATTTAATTAATGGTATACACTTTTATAAAGATTTAAATAGTTTTCTTTTCGCATACACATGGGCTAGTAATATTATCATTTTGTTAAAATCGAAAATATTACTAGCCTGTACATTTTGTACATTTGTTGCTTTAAAAACAATCTAAAATGTCAATATTCCATGGGTATATTGATAAATGAGGTCTAAATTATAATAAAATGCATTTTCTACGAAAACTTGAAGGGATAGGCAAGAAATGGTAAAATACAATTTGATAGACAATTAAATTGTGCATCTGATTCTCCTAAAATATACAGGGCGTTCCATTTAAATTAAAGAAGTTATTGGCGTTTAAAGCTAGAAATTATTTAAAATAAATTTTTAGACACTCTGTATAAGGTAGTATTATTTTTATTTTTGTAACAGAATAACTGATCAATAAATAAACTTCAGTAAATATTTAGTATTAAAAACTTTGATATCCTTGGAGAAATGAAGCCTTAAAATTTTTACAGCAATTTCCCAAAATTGAAAATATTTCAAAAACGGTAAGGTTTAAGTATAATAAACCTTAATCAGATTTACCTTTATTTTAATCGTAGAATCTAAAATGTGATAATATACAGGGTGTTCCATTTAAAAACTACAACTTTGATATTTTTTACTTATTTGGGACACTCTGTATCTTGTAAAATTATTTTTAAATTGTACCTCTAATTGTCCTTCATCGAACCCAAAAACTTACAATTTGTAAAAATATAATCGTTTAGCTACAATACTCGTGTCATTATGTGGTGAACAACCCTGTTGTATAATTAATGAAATTTAATATATTTATATCTTTTTTTTACAGATTTTTATTTTTTAAGAAGAAACATAGATCACTCCCTTTATAATCCTGATGTTTTGACCCTCATTCTGGTTTAAATATCTGATTAAAATAACTGTAAGTTTAATTTATTCTTTAAAAATAAATAAATATATTATTTTTTGTACTGACTAACTCTATTTATTATTAATATGAAACAAATAAAAAACAAACAAAAAATATATATCATAATAAATGAAATGTATACTATTTATTTCTTTTTTTTACAGATTTTGTACAATAAATGGATAGATGGATACAGTTCCAGGGCAGTACATATCATATTCTATCTTGATCTTGATGAATATCATCAATGCATCGGGATTGACAAGAGTATATCTAAAATGTTATTTATTTGGGTTAAGTTTAATTTAGGTGATTTTATAATGATCATTATCAGTGGATGATTTCATGATTTTTAAATTCCTGAGTTTAATTTGAGTTAAATTTTTATGGTTACTTTATAGAGACAAATTCAGACTAGGTACTTATTTTTAATTTGGGCCAATTTTTGGCTTTTGGCCACTTCTTATTCTTTTTGGGAGAATACCATCTACTTTGAACTTCAATTTATATTCTATACTATATTCTATTGACTGCATTTCTATAGGTTTTATTTCTTTGGTAAAGTATACCCTCCACTGATAATTTTGCTTCTATTTTTGTTTATGGTTTGGTTAACTATCAGTTTTCTACAGTAGCTTGACTCCCATATTTTCTTTATTATGGAAATAATATCATTATTCATCGATTCCATAAAATATTCCATTAGTTTTATTTCTATAAGTCTTCTTTTACCAGTATTATTTTTCTAATGGTATTTAATCCTTTTTTGCTTGTGGAATTTCTTGGATGGAATTTCAATTTTTATGGATTCATTTCCATGCCATTTTTTTAGATCATATGCCATGAATTTCTGTAATTTTGCTTTATTTTATGTTTGTTCAAATATAATTTAAACACATTTAAAAATCTTAAAAAAAGGTCTCATTTCTCATCAATTCCTGGCGCATTCGCCATTTATTTAAAAAAAATTGACATCCACAGTGACAATTAATTTTCCTGATCAACATCGACTCCAGAGCATCATAACTAGCCTCCCCTAAGAGGAGGAGACCCGGGTCACCCCCTAACCCTGATGTTCGGCCATCGATGACCTATGTAGCATGCATAGGTACCCAAGGGAGTCACCACCCTCTGGTTTACGAGCTAGGTGTTCTAACACTAGAGGCTTCGGCCGGATACGACTTGGCACCCAAGCTCCGAGACTTCTTCGTGCACGTATTCCGTGACCCTCGAAGAGGCAGGGGGCGGGATATCGGACACATTGAAGATGATGAGGGGGGTCCGCCTGTAGGGGGTCCCGGTGGATGTCCGCTCGATGGGTGACGAGGGTGACCCGAGACGAGGCTGCTTAGCTGGGATGGGAACTGACTGGCGAGGCTTAATCGTCGGACAAGGGTTAAATCTGATGAAGGGAGGCGAACTTATATGCTCTGGAGGATTTTTCTTTATTTGTGTCGTATTTTGACTAGACATCTGTTAGAGGTGGTTAAGCATAACTTTTTGTCAATTGTCCTGTTTTTATTTACCACATACTTATTTTTTTAATGTCTTGTTTTTAATACTTTTTGCTTCGTTTTGCTTTTGGCCTACCTCGCTTTATTTTCCCTGCCATGGTGTACTAGTACTATTATTGTCTTTCTCTTTTTTGTCTCCTGTACTTCCTTATGGCAATGTGATCATTCATCAATTCTATAAGTTCTTCTATTGATTGTATTGCTATTTTTTCTTATATGTACACATTTGTATAATTTTTTTTGCCATTCTACTTTGGCTTTTCTAATTTTTTCTTTTCTATTCATTTACACACATAATTGTTTATAATTTATCATGCCTCTATTTCTTTATTTGTCTCCCATATTATTGTATGTATTTCTCAATAATCATTCTTTTGTATTGTGTCATTCTGTGTTGAGACTTCTCTAATGCATTTTATTTCTATTGTCTATAGAGTTGTAATTTTGTAGTCATTTTCATGTTTTTTTTCCAGTTCTCCATATCATACATAGTAGCCCTTGTTCATTGTATTTTTAAATTTATTTTTTAATTATATTATTGTTAAGTTAAGACCCCCAAGTCTTTGATTTTATTGCTACTGATGCCTACATAGAATTGTGTTGTTTCTGTATTCATTTTCCGAATGATTTCCTTCTCATTCCGTTTAAAATTGTTTTTGAATGGGAGCTTGTACTGCTTTGGAACAATCATTATTTAGCACAGCTATACTTCAACTCAACCACACTCTTCAAGATGCCATTGGGTTGATTAAATTCAACATTCATCAGCAGATTGAGATTGAAATTCATCATCGAAGAGGAGGCTAAATAGTTTTAGGTAAATTATATTAGGTATATAATACACCTTATATAAATCGAATGTTAGTAAATGCCTGATTAATTTGAAATAAAACATTTGGGCGCACAATTTATTGTAGTATAGGCAACTAAAAATACATCAAAAATATTTAAGTTGGTTTTAGGCAACTATAAATACAATTAACGTGTATATTGTGTTGCCTATATATAGAGTTTGCATTTTTTAATTTTAGTTTCCAACTTTTTTAAATATTATAATTAAAATATTTTTTAATTACAAATACAAACCAAGTTCTCTGTGTTACGGATATTTCTATATATCTTATAATATTGTATGTACCCTGTCAATATACTAAAAATTTAAAGTTATAGGTGTAATAGTTATTATTCAAGCTTGTTAGGGTATAAATAATTAATTATTTCTTTATATTTTTCTTACAGAATCAAAACTTCAAGAATTCAAGATCGAGAAGGGCAGCCAGAAGATTTATTTACCTGTACATAGACATCGCACATGTCCATCAACACCATGGATTTTAATATACTTTTTATATTATTCTTTGTTAATAAAATACAGTATGTAAATAAATAATAATTAATAATAAATGAGTTTTATTAAACCAAAAGATACATATTAGAAATACTGTCTAACCCTGAACAAAAAGAAAGTAAACTAATGTATTCTAATATTCTAATAGTAAACATGACCTTTACAAGTTGTTCTGGAATAGACAATATTTTATATAAAAATTATACCTATATATAACACCTCTTTGCTCTTATGTACTCCTAATACAAATCCGAGAAAATTCAGCTTTTAACAAAAATTAAACGAACATTTTTAATCTTGGTCTAAAATTACTGATTTCTATCAGGAACACATAAGTGTGAAGAGGTAAGAAGTACCAATATTTACCTCTTTGCTCTTATGTACTCCTGATACATATCCGAGAAAATTCAATTTTTGTTAAAGACTGCACGAAAATTTTTAAACCTTGTCAAAAATCGGCGATTTCTATCAGGAACACATAAGAGCGAAGAGGTAATGAGCAAATTTAGAACCACATGTAAATAAAGCATCGATCAACGATATTTCTGCTATCTCTAGCACTTCGAACTCGTTTCCAAACTTCAACCCTTAATATCTCGGAAACTATAAGGGTTAGAGAGGAACGGAACTCGGCATTCGATAGGCATTTCAACCCTCTATAAGGGCGCAAAACGAGGGCGCGATCGGAGACCAAAAAATTTTCTTGGCAAAAATGAGGTAAGGGGTTAACCTTCCTTCATTTTCGCCGAAAATTTTTTTTTGTCTCCGATCGCGCCCTAATTTTGCACCCTTATAGAGGGTTGAAAGGCGAATCGAATGCCGAGTTCCGTTCCTCGATATCTCTTATAGTTTGGAAGTTATGGCCGTTTTTCGAAAAAATCTAACTCGTTCGAACTCGTTGGTCGGGTACTCCAAATTTTGCCAGGTTGAAATTATTTTTGGTAGCTTTTGTTAAAAATGAGAAGTCTTGAATTTATATCGAGAACATATATAACTAAACCACCACCTCGGTCTTAATTTTTGTCTACACATAAGCACATACTATTTGTACTAGCAAAATACATGTCCATGCTTCAGTCTTAAAAATCCGTTATAACTATATACAGGGTGAGTCAACGATAGAGTATAGTTTACTTATACAGTAAGTTCATTAATATATTTCTTCTGAGAAGTTTTAGGGAATGTTAGATAGACACAAAATTTAAGATTGCTATTGAGTATACAGGGTGCTTCAAAAAGCGTGGCTGATATATGTTTTTAAGTAGTACTTTTAGGTTTCTAACTTTTTTTCTTGTGCTCCATAAGACTCTTTATGGATGGAAAATGTATTTATTTTGGGGAACATTTTGAGGGTATAGGAAAATAATACGACAATGTAGGATATAACTGTTTATTTGGCTAATAGTTTATCACAATTTAAGCAGGTAGATTCTATTTATGTCAATAATACACGTTCGATAGAATAAATTAAGTAACAGTAATTTGACTAGATTAAAAAAAGAAAAAATATACGTATAAACAACCTTACAAAACTAAAAGTTTATGAAAATGTCTTATGTGTACTATATTCTTAAACGAAACACCGAAGATATATTAAAAATTCATTCTTGGCTTAGTTAAACGTTTAATGATCTAACTGAAATTATTTTAACAATAAGTTTACAACTTATCATTGTTCGTTTGATAGAGCTGTTATACAGTACATTTATTTTTAAAAATATCAATATAACATACAGGGTGTCATTGAAATGGCACCCTGTCACCTGTCATTTCAATGACACCCTGTATAGTCTAACCAAACGCTTATGAAACTAATACTTAACAGCGGCGGTCAGTCAAATCAGCGAGAGCAAATAAAATTTTCAAAATATTTTTTTAATTAAATCGTGATAATTTTTAATATAAACGTACTGTATAAATCGCGCAGAGCTATGTGTTATATGAAAAAAATGGTGCATCAACAGCAAAATTTAGAATTCATTAAACATTAGGCACTTAGAAAAGTAACCCGTTGAGAGATTATAAAAGCTTATAAATCTTTATCTAGGCCATTCCAACTTTAACGTAAACCCCCAGATTAAATACACATATCAATAACGTCAATTTAATTATGATTTTTTTCAAGTTTCATATCTATGCTAGTCTTTTAGTAATTTATAGGTTTCTGTATGTTAGTTTTGAAAAATAAACTTTTAAATAGTATATTTCAATAATAAATATACAGGGTGTTGTACTGAAGTACTCTCTATCTAATGGAAAGTACCCTTACAGAGCTGTTTCGGAATTTTACACGATCGCTATTAGCTTTTGCATTGAAATGTGTGTAAGAGAACCAAATTTCGGGAAAAACGGTTTACCAATATTCTTAAAAATAAACAAAATTTATTATTTTTATTTAACCTTTGGATGGCTGTAAACATCTTCGTGAGCATTTTAGGGCATATGTTCAGAGGAACTTTTTGTTTTATTTTTATCTACAGAATCACCCACCGAAGTTAGGTACACTATTTTTTTGACACCTTGTGTAAGTAATAAATCTTAGATTTTACTATAAAATAAAAAAAGACTATAACTATGACGTCATCAGCTGTACTTAGTTTAGAGATTTACACAAGTCAACACGTACCTAGATATATAAATTTTACATTTTTAAAATATATGAAGTAAATATTTTGACAACAACGTTTGAACATATTATAATATAACTTTATGTCTTTGTAATTCTTGTTTAAAATAAAGTAGGATTTAGACTAAGGCGTCCTAAACACATTCTAATGTTTAAGAGAATTTTATTAGATATCCATCTACGACGATACTTGTTCACATAAATTAAGATTTCAGAAATATACACAGGGTGGTCAAATATTAATTGAAACATTATTGCAGGGCTATAAGAATATATCTTCAAATAGTCTCAATAACTCTTGACATGAAATGAAAACTCTTATGTTTTGAAGATGCCAAAATTATTTTTTTTCAAACGTCACAAAAGTATTAATTTTAATAATGCACTTTTACGCCTAAGCACAAAAGTACAAAATATATTATTAAACTGACATAAAGTGTCAAATTCAAGGAGTGTAATCATAGTTTCTCAATATACAGGGTGGTCCGAACTGTATTCCGGAAACTTCGGCAGCATATTTTACTGATAAACCTAAGTAAAAAAGTTCATATAAATGTATGTCCCAAAATGCTTACTTTCGGAGATACAGGGTGTAGAAGTTTCATTTTTATTTCGATTTTTTACAAATAATTTCTGAAGTAACGTCAATATTTGGATGAAAATTGGTGTTTGGGAGTTTTTTGACATGAGAAATTTGATGTTGATGTCAATGTGACTCCTATTTGTAGGGGGCGCCACCTACATGTGTTTTAACTGTTTTGAAGGGTAATAACATTTTGTCCGTACCTGTATAAAATTATTGAGTAAAAAATATACATTTCCGTGATTTTCTACGTAAAAAATGTCTTGGTAAAAATCGCTACGAGCAACCGTTCTCAAGATATTTACGATGGAAATAGTCAATACATGTCATTATTGACTAAAAATAAACAGGTTGAGTAGATAGTTATTTGACTGAAATGAGAAATTTGGGAACTTTTTATTTTTTTAAACTAATCATATATTTTTCTTAGAAAAAATGATGATAAGATAAAACAGTTTCTGTTGAACTTTTGGCACAAAAACATTTCAAATTTATGATTTTAGCCTAGTAACTAATTAGTCAACATGTTTAATTTATGTCAATGATGACAGGTATGGGTAATTTCGATTCCAAATATGTCGAGAACCATTACTCGTAGCGATTTTTATCAAGAGACCTTTTTTATGTGAAAAACGTCGTAAATGTATATTTTTCAAACTAGCTGGTTTTATACAGGTACGGACGAAAAGTTATTACTCTTCAAACCAGTTAAAAAATACGTAGGTGGCGCCCTCTACAAGTAGGAGCCATATTGACATCGAAATCAATTTTCTCATGTCAAAAATCTCCCAGACGCCAATTTTCATCCAAATATTGACGTTACTTCAGAAATTATTTGAAGAAAAAATCGAAATAAAAATGAAACTTCTACAGCCTGTATTTCCGAAACTAAGCATTTTAGGACCGAAGTTTCCGGAATACAATTCGGACCACCCTGTATAATTACTTACAAGGTACAACTTTTAAACATTTTTATATTTTTTGCAACGTTTGAAATTGTTTAAAAAATTATTTGGGAACGTTTGAAAAATTTTTGTAACTTGTGAAAATTATTGACGTTAAAATAGGACCACTCTGTATATACCGAATAAAATTAATTACGATATTTGAATTAAAATTGAATATTGTGAATATCTAGGGTGCAAATATTTGAGATGTAGAAAAAAAATTGAATTTTTAAAATTACAAACTTCTTTAAAGGAACGCGAGATCCTGCTTCGCTATTTTTATCGTACTTAAGTGTAAAAAATACAGAATTACAAGTTGAATCTTATGTTATCCATTATTAATATTAATATCATAAAAATTCTATACATTAAATTATTATATATATATATTAAAATCTACAACGTGTCTCAAAAAAGTCATTGAATTAAACACTGAAAATGGGGTGATTTGATTTTGCGGTTACTTAACAATGAATACTTAAAAATAAGCAGGTTAAAAATATTTAACGCAGTTTGATTCTATTTAAAGAGTAGAATATAGTCCTCCAATAAATAACAGATACTTTGTTGATACAAAATCGTCTACAGTATGTCCCCAGATCTCCTTTACAAGAGGAAAAACATTTTTATTATTAAAATTTTGAGAAAAATGCATTCTTCATAAATGTTTTTGCCTATTCTAAAATGGTTAGAGTACAGAGTGCATACAGTATATAGGTGTGGGTACATATTGTATAATATAAAAATTGTATTATCTTTTTTTGGCAAAAAAATCAAATAGCAAAATCTATAACAAATTTAATGATAATGCTGTGAT